TATATATATAAATTAAACTTTTTTTTTATTTTTGTTGTTATGCCTTTTGTTATTTTGGTACTGCCTTCCTTTTGCAATTTATCTTTCTCAAAATCATAATATTAACAGAAATATTTATCAACTTTATTGAAAATTAATATTTCTAAGAATCTCAATTGCATAAAGTTATCTTCCTTACAAATGTTTTTTTTTACTAAAGTCTAATCTATTATTAGTTATTTAAAACTTCCATCAGATTTGAAATCATAAAGAGAGGAAGTTACTAGCACACTCAGTTCAAGACGCTTAGACAAGCTCCGGACGGAAAGAAAACAAGAAAGACTAAATTTAAAAAAGTCATTATCTAGTAAAAAGAATAATAAAAAATGGCAAAAAAAAAACAATTTGATCCTAAAATTATTAACATATTTTCTAAATAATTTTTTTAAGTAATAAAATTATATAAACTAGTATTTAACATGTAAAGTGCTATTATCATAAATAATTATGATAAATAAAAATTAAATCAAATAAAAAATTAGAAAAATCTGTAAACTTTCTTATTAAAAAAAACTCTTAAAAATGTTTTTAAAAATTTGTGTTTAATTTATAAAGGTTGATTGATGTTTAAAAAAATCATTAAAAAGAGAGATGAGAAACCAAATTAATAATTTATTAAAAAAAATTAGATAAGTAAAAATAAGCTCTTAACTTTCTCTTTTTCTCTTTTTTAAACGAAAGTAAAAAGTAAAAACAATACATCAAATTCATTGTTGTTACTGTAGTAGGTCATATTAAAACTGAAACAGGAAAAGTGCTCCTGAATTCTGAGCATTCAAGGGCCAGATGAAATCAATGATCCTCACCAAACGCATTATACCTATGGACAGGATAGTTAAGCATATTTTGTATACTATAAAAGAAGAATCACTGCATGTACTCTTCACTCCTCTCTCTCTCCTTTTACTTAGATCTTAATAACTTGATCAACAAGAACATGACGACAACTTCTTCATCTCACTAATTTCCAATTCAGCACCTGAGATCACATCTATTTTTGACCCTTTAAGAGTGGCAACACTGTGGTCACCATTGGCCTTACCATGCCCGCATTCCAATGACCTTTTGGAGATTACCCTATAAATCTCTTCCAGCAACTTGAAAAAGGCACTGTCCACATTCTCACCACTGAGAGCTGAAGTCTCAGAGAAGAAGAGGCCCTGATCCTCTGCAAACTCCACAGCATCCTCTGCATGCACCACTCTCTGGTCCACAAGGTCACCTTTGTTCCCAATGAGCATGATCACTATGGAGCTGTCTGCGTGTGCACGAAGTTCCTCAACCCATCTAGCCACATGATCAAACGACTGTCTTTTCGTTATGTCGTACACCAGCATGGCCCCTAATGCACCTCTGTAGTATGCACTTGTCACTGCTCTGTACCTACACCAAACAAACAAAATTTACGCATGTATAATATATACTTAAATTTTGATCAACTTTCTGCACCAAAATCACCTACTTTCATTCATGAGCATGTTTTTATTTGGATGCTTTTTTCTTACTTTACATTCAATTCTTATTAATTAGAACATATTGATAGTACAATTTTATTTTTTTTTATCATGCCGTCTGATTATTATAGTTATGAAAAGATGAATTTATTAACTTTGCTTAAAATAATTCCTCATTGATTGACAACCGAAAAAAAATTAAGTGACACAACCACCTCAGTTATATACTTGCATCTAAATAGATCTCAATTTCATTACATTTAGTTAGATTACCTTTTTAAGCGCTGCGTGTAGACAGTATCTGAAATCTGACAAATTAGATGAGCTAACATCACATGCTACAAGTATCACATTCTTGCATAACTGTTAAGATCTTCCCTTGTAAAATACTGATGTAATTTTTGGATCAGATCAGGAAAAGGAAAATGAAAAGCCGCGCAACTAAAGTTATAAACTGAACAACATGTGATGTGCTTGGTCATATATATGATATGATAGGAGGATTCATAAGTCAAATTGGGATCACATTGTTAATTATAATAATGTTGAAGTTAATTGGTATCATAATGGAAACTCAATACCCTCCCAAATCCTTTACTTGTTACTTTCAAGGTATGCACAAAATCAAAGAAAAGCACGAGAGAGAGAGAGAGAGGAGGAGGAGAACCTTTCTTGGCCAGCAGTATCCCAGATCTGAGCTTTGATGACTTTGCCATTAATTGTGACAGTTCTTGTCTGGAACTCAACTCCAATGGTGGACTTTGAGTCCAAGCAGAATTGATTCTTTGCAAACCTTGATAGTATTTGAGTCTTACCCACTGCTGAGTCCCCAATAACCACTACCTTAAACACATAATCTATTTTGTCATGCACATTCTCTTTCACCCTCTCAGCTTCAACCCCATTCATTTCTTGATTCATTTTTTCCCAATATCACCAAAGATTAAAAGTAAGGGACTTCTTTCTGCCAAAACTAGCTAGGCTCTAAAACATTGGGTTCAATCTTTCCTATTGGTCGCGGAGATAAGTAGGAGAAAGTAAAGAATATGGAAAAGCTTGAGGAAAAAAAAAAAAAAAAAAAGAGGAACCAAACAAGAACAGTGTTGAATCAGTGGTAGCAAAAGAAAGAAATAGGCAAAGTAATAGCCCGGTCTTTGTCTCCCTTTAATGCTTTACCAAATTGAATGCACCACACCAAATATAATAATATATGTATGAAAATATTGTGGGGGCATTATTATTGCCATCTGCAACTGCAACGGAATACCTCTGAAATCTGAATGTAGTAGTTAAGCACATCAGCGTAAGCTTCAATTCTTTTCTAGCCCAACCAAAAAAGAAGAAAAAAGAAAAAAGGAAAATAAAGAAAGAGACAAATAATCAAATTTTTGTACAAATTGCGATGCTTCGGAAAGGAATTGGGAATCATGTATGATTTGTTGAGTGGTTGAAGTGTCTAGTTCATATTTAGTTGATTTTAATTTATGATACAATCATGCAAATGCCCTTTTTCTTTCTTTCTTTTTTTTTGTTGATTTTATATCTATCAAATGACTATGATCTAAATTTAAATTATCCAAGGGCTTATTAAAGAGATCGTTTGCATTATTGAAGCTGAGAATGCACCAGTGCTAATAATTAAATATTTCCTAACACGGATATAATGCTATCTGAGAGTTTCCTTGGTTGTTTTGCTGGTATCATCATGAATTGAATCCTCAAGTGGTGAGATACGTAAGAACGAATTGTTTCTTTAAAAAAGAAAAAATACTCCAGAAGTCGAGGTCTAACAAGGCAAACCATTTTCTTTGTGTGTAGTTACTTCATTGAATATATTTTAAAAGTTTTTTTTCTCTTATATTTTAAAATATGCAATCTTAGCTTGATCGTGTTCTTTCAATTAACAACAATAATAAAGAAGAGTCACGTTTTAATAAGTATTTATATACAAAAAAAAGAAAATCAAAAGATAAAAAATTCTTATTTTATAAATTTTCAATTTTTATACAAGTTCTGTTATCTATTCTTTTTTACAAAATGTTAGTTTTAACTTATAAATAAAATAATTTTAATTTAAATTAAAAAATATAATTTATTTTACTTTTTCCCTGTAAGCATTTATTGAAAAGCATATAGAATCCAAGGACCATAATATTTAGTTATGTGTAGCATGAGCATGGCCTACCGTTTGTTCCAACCACACATGATGGTATCTATTAAACTTGGATCCCTCATAAAGACCCATCACAGTGACCATATGCTAATGAAAGAAAGACACATTCTAAAAATCCATTGTAGGGACTACTTAGCAATCAGTACAGTAACACACAGCTTGGAATTTTTGGCACCGACAGAAAAGAACTGGCATATATAGTACGGATAACACCTTCTCTTGCTTGTAAACGGTGAAAGTAGTAAAGTGTTACACCACCCATGCTCCAATCACAATGATTATAGATACCTAGTGTAGCAATTGTTGCATTACTCACAAGTTGTTTTCATCACGTGTTAGTGAGAGTGAGTTAGTACAAAATTAATTTTGAATTTGAGGAAAGGTATAATGTAAATTCCTTAATACAATGAAAAAGTCACATGCCGTGACTTTTAGTTTAATTTTGGTAACAAACTTTATTTTAGTTTTCTAAATATGAGCTTGGTGGATTGCTGTATATGGTGGTTTTGGGTCCGCCGAATATATACGTTTTCGTTTTCTTGTTCGTGGATTTGATGCACAATGGTTTATGATGGTTGAAAGGTGGGGTAAGGTTAATGTGAAGGGTTTAAGGGGCATAATGGTTGAGGTAATACTTGATGGTTAATCAAAAAGAAGAATAAACACATCGATTTCTCTTACATAACTTGAACAATTCTTTCGTCTTATAATTTGAACACTCTTTTAGTATTATTTAAATAGTAATTTTATTGTTATGGTCATCATATTTGAGTTATTATCTGTTTTAATATTTATTGGAATATCATATTTTTTTCTCTAAAATGTATCTAAGTAAATTAAGAAAAATATATATTTATAAACTATTTTTAATGTCAATTCCTAAATAATACGAGACATTTAAGTATATTAGAACAAGTTATTCAGTCAAGACTAATAGCTAATAGCAGTATAAGTTTTCCTTTTAATGCTAATGCATCGAAACCCTTTCTCTTTAATTCACAAATACACCTTTTCAATTATAAAGTTATGATTATCTAATGAATGTCAAAGTCAATAATATTTTAAATATGATAATTTTAACGATATTAATAGATTTATGGTTAGAACAAATATAATTTGTACATAAATTGTAACTAAATATTCATCTAATACTCCTTTTATAATTTTTTTAAGTTATTTTACTTATAAATATTCTAAGAATAATAACTTTTTTTAGATTCATTTTATAAGAATTATTAGTTGTTTTAACCTTTAAAAAATATGATTTATTTTCTAAGGTTCATTGTCATATAAAAAAATTGTGAAAATTAACAATTTTGAAAGTAAATAAATATAAATCTTAATTTGGATATTTTTATGTTACTTACATATCTAAGACCTCGTATCCTATATTTTAAACCAAGCTTCGTAATAGTGTCGTGGTTCAGCTTGGGGGAGAAAAGAAAAATAACTTTTCTTAAAAATAAACATTAAATTACTAGCAACAAACAACACAATTGGTAGATAGATATTATTTTATATATTTACTGGATGAAAAATGTATTAAATAATAATAAAAGAATAAAATATAAAATAAATAACAGTGTTAAAGATGTGTTAAAAAAAGATGAGAAGATAATGGAGAAAAAAATGGAATGAAAGATAAAATTAATTGTATGTTTATATTTGTAATTATCAAAATATATTAAATAATAAAATATATAGTTTATTCGGTATAATCACTTTTATTTTTATTATTTTTAAACTGTATTTAACTTAAATGAGTGTGTTAAAAGTGTAATTAATTCATAATATATATATATATATATATATATATATATATCATAGTATTTATATAATATCTTAAATAAATCAAATGATTTACCGGTTTAAGTGGCTAGTAAGGATTAATTTTATTAATTACAATTGGCATTTTCTCTATGATAAATTTCATGTTCTTTATTTTTTAGATACTATAGATGTGATAAGGACTAGTTTTCGTTAGTTTGTCTGGTATTTTATTTTTTATTTTTTATTTGAAGTTTTATTAAATTATGATAAAAAAAATATTACTAAATCATTCATTACGTTAACACCCATTCAAAGATGCAAATTTACTAAATTAATTTATTTCATAATTTCTACTTTTATTTGCTATTTACTAAATTAATTTAAATTTAATTATATTTTTACAGAAATTTTATCAAGTAAGTGTGAAATACAATTGAATATATAACTATTCATTCATATATTTTTTTAATTTTGTATTAAATTTCCGTTAATTAATGATAAAGAAAATTACCAAACATCATTTACACCACACTCTTTAAAGGAGTAAGTATTACACCACTCCATCTCTTTTTGTTAAAATAGATATTCTCTCAAGTATGTTAAAATTTAAAAGTCTATCTCTTAATTGTATATTTAATTATTATTTTAAAGATTATTATGAATTGTTCTAAAATTAATTTTATATTCGAGTGAGATTTTTATTTTTAATTATTATTTTTGCAACATATTTTATAATTATTAATATATATATATATATATATATATATAAAGTTAGAAAAATTAAAAATGAGTATCAAGATAGTATGTAATTGATCTTATTA